TTTAATATGCGTGTGCTTGCATAGCGGTAGCAATGCTTTTGTGTCTCCCTTCTAGAGGTGGTGTTCAGATGTATCCGTTTCCTCCCCATTCCTCCCTCAAGTCCGCCTGACCGCTTGGCTCATTCTTCTTTTTAAGATGGAGGGGGGGGAATTTAAAGGAAGAGGTATGGGGGGGTAACTATTTACAAAAGAGGCTTGCTTCTTCAGTCTCTTGTCAGGGTGGTCCCATCGTTTAGGGTGAAGCCCCCGCATTTGAAAGCTACAGAGTGCCGGTGTCTTTGTTGATTGCCATTGCCAAGTGTGCTGAGTTGCCTATTGTGAATCTTGGTTCGAGAGCCCAGAGTCCAGCCCAGATTTCCGCCACCCCCACTTATCTATCGCCCCGTCCCGTCTCCTTCGTTTGCCCCCGGTGGTGAACCTCTGTACCAGGGGTTTTGTGTCATGTTTAATTTGTCATGTAATAATAGTCCTCAGGTAGCGTTCCGTGTTATTACATCTTCCTCCACCTCTCCCCCTTGGTCACGTGCGCATGGGGTGTGGGTATGTTCCGTGTGTGTTTGAGTTTTAATGTAGATGTCCCACATGATTCCCGCTCTCTGTATATGCTTTTTTGGGCTAATATGCTTATGGGCCATTGACTCGTAGTCCAGATTCAGGGTAATCTGCACTGTAAGGGCAGTACGACCCGGGATTTCTGTAGATTTCCATGCTCTGGCTATTAGCAAATTTGCAGCCATGAGGACGTGGAAGAGTAGGGTAGAGGCCGGTTTAGAGATGTTTTCCAGTGGCATGAATAGGAGGCATATATCAGGTCTGAGTGTGATACCCATCCCAATGCGTCTGATAATAAGTCACCCACCATAAGCCAATATCCATCGATCTTGGGACAAGTCCACCGAATGTGGTACATCGTTGCCGTTTCCTGTAAACACCTCCAGCAGAAGCTGGTAGTGTTCGGGTAGATTCGCGCCAGTCTGTCCGGTACCATATACCAGCAATACTGGATTTTCCTCATCAGTTCTAAGTGTGATGCACAGCTTGTCTTTCCCTTGTGAGCTAACATTGCTTTTTTCCAGCTTGTGACGTCAAATGTTTGGTGTAAGTCGTTGTGTCAGTCGAGCATAAATTTTTCGTAGCTGCGTGCTGCCGGGACTGTCAGTACTCGGTATATAGAGGCTAGTAACTTATTTGGCGTGATAGGGGCTAGGGATGCTTTTTCAAAAAAGGCCATGGTCGGCGATCGCGAAAATGGGGGGTTGTGTGTGAGGAGCGCTTTTAGTTGGAGGTATGAGAACAATGCCCTCGTCGGTAGTTTGAATTTACGTTGGAAGTCTGGGAATGGCAGTATCCCATTGTCTCCAAACAGTTGGCCTATGGAGGCACAGCCTCCTTTCCGCCAAGGCCTGTAATCAAAGGATGGGTTAACAGCATGCACGCAAGATATGGGGGCAGCTGGGAGCCACATGTGTTTCTCACCCAAGTTTTGTTTTAGTCTGTCCCATGTATGAAGGAGCACGTCAGTGGTACGCAACATGTTTGGCATGTTCGGGCGTTTATATTTGGGTATCCAGAAGAGAAGGTGCATGCCCTTGGGGTGCGACCAATGCGACTCAATCTCAATCCATTGCGGGGGGGAGGGTAGCTGCGTGGGAAGCTATAACGGAGGCTAGCAGTGCAGTCCTGTAATACTCTTTAATGTTTGGCAGACCAAGTCTGCCGTGGTCTAGGGGTTTATACAGGAGTTTTGAGGAGACGCGGATTTTACGGTTTTCCCATATGAATCGGGTTAGTATGGCCTGGAATTTTTCTAAATAGGTTTTGGGGATAGATATTTGTAGCGTTCTGAGCAGGTATTGGCGTTTAGGGAGGATGGACATTTTTACTGCAGCTATCCTGCCAAGCCAGGTTAGGAATTTAGATTCCCACCCCTTCAGCGTTTCTCATGGTTGTATGTGATGAAACAAATTTGCAGGGTCCCCTCTTCCATACAAACACATACATTGTTCGTATTTACTTTACCACTAACATCTAATTAGCAACATATGCGTACAAAAATTTCCGTGTATAACTTGCCACAAACAAACCATATTACCACAGCCCACACGGCTTTCTGTACTTGTCTCATCGTACTGCTTTTAATACTCTTCTTAAGATTCTCAATTACACACTTGTCTCTAAGCACAGGGCAAATGTGCTCCTCTTGGCTTGTAATTTTATTATATACTGTTCATTTCAAGCATGTTTTGTTCGAATAGTTTTTTCTTGTTTTGCCTATTGTACTGCACTGTTGTATATGTTGGCATGTAAATGGTTATAATCCCATGTACACACTTTACTTTCAGTGCTTTTCTTTCCTTTTGCCAGAGCTAAATGAAAAGTCTCCAGGGTGGCACTTAAATGAATTTGCTACGTGTTATGAACAGCTATCTGCTTTCCAAGTATTGAATAATATCAAAAGAACACAGCTCCGTTGTCTGTTTTAAAATGGTAATTGCATGTTTGTATGTTTAAAATGGCTTGTTATTAAGATGTGTATTTTCTTGTGAGGTGTATATATACATAACATACAAGATCCGGCACACTCACTCATACACTAAACAGCAACTTCAAAGTTTACTAAATTTAGCTGGGGGTTGAGTTACGTTATATGATCATACCTTGTGTAAGCTTGCCACAATGTCAATGTACCCCATTTTTGGCAGTTCCTATCCTAGCAACTTAATGCCGATTCCGCATGCCGGAACGGAGCCGGACCAGATATGGCCTGACACAGGGCACTATAGTGCCAGGAAAATGAGTATGTTTTCCTGGCACTATAGTGGTCCTTTAAATAGGGCCTTGAAATGAGGCAGATATAACAGGGAGGGGTGCAAAACCAAATGAATTTGATCTGGACTACTAAGCCAAGATGGAAGCACTGACCAAGATGGATGCTAAGCCAAGATGGATGCAAGGGTACTGCTGGGACCAACTGATATAACATACACATTCCAGCACACTCATTAAATAAACACCAGCTTCAAAACTCACAGAACTGAATAGTTTTTGTTAAAACACCTGACTTGGACAAAATGAATGTGGGGTTTTGTTAAAATATATTATTATCAATTGCATAAGTCTGCCACGAAATCAATGTACCCTATTCTTGGCAGATCCTTTTCTAGCAACTTAATATCTGATCTTATCATATTAATTTAACCCTCGTACTATGTAATCCACATATATATGTTATATAGTGAAATCCATCCGTGTAGGCGCACCGATAGATATGACAATATTACTATTATTAGATAGACAGATATACAACTAAGATGTGTTGGAGTTTATTTAAGAAACAAAACTCCATTTAAAGTCTAAAAATAAATCTAACCAAGCATGCAAGAACATAAAGTACTAATATAAATAATCCAAGTATGACATTCAAAACACGTACATAATGTACAAATATCCCATTATGCTGAAGGACACCTGCACACTGCCGTAAAGGCCAAATCCTGTTTTGTTTAGTTTTTTGTTTTTTCTCATAAGGTCACAAAAGCTTAGCTGGCATATATCAGAACTTAATCCTCATTGGTTTCGCTGGCTGAACGCAAGGCTGTTTCCATGGCAACACAGCTGCAGTGCAGTTGCTACAGCAGGAACTAGCACATGTTATGTCAAGGTTGAGGAAAGGCCCGTCTTAGAGGGTATTACTTAATGCTGTTTGTTGTACAGTTCAAGTTCTGTTTAACAGGGAATCACAAAGTGAGCAAACCTAATGCACTGGCTTTTAACAAGTTAGCTTTTTCAAGAACAAATATCTGTAGATGCATATTCCAGCATAAATACTATACATTTAAGAATGCATTTTTTCACATGCCTCACAACATCCCAATTCTAGCAGTACAGTCCCTATTTATGGGTCCTATCTCCCTGGTGTACCAAAACAATAGTTGATCTGGAGTAAGCAGAGTCGTCTTTAATGCGGGGCAAATGGGGCAGTGCCCCGTGCCCAGTCACTCCTGGGGGGCCCAAAGCAGCTGCCCCGTTTGCCCTCAGTCCACAACAATTTATTTTAGGATCACCGATCCTAAAATAAATTGTTATGGGCAGCAGGCCTGCACACTAAGGGGGCCCAAGGACCCACATTCACCTATTAATTCGGGCTATCAGAGGGTTTGGCGCAGCAAGGGAGCATTGCACTCTCACTGTGCTGAATCCGCCAATTGCCCGAATTATAAGGCGCCGTGAGCCTTCAACACGAGCAATAAGGTCAGTATCTAGCTCAGAGTACTTAAATGTGTCCACAGAAATGTTATCTTTTCTGATTGACATTTGGATAGTGTGGTTGGGCTTATGGTCCAGCAAGAACTTTAGATTAGGATCTAGAGGGATATCTAGATTCTGGAAGGGATCCACCATCTCAGTAGCACTTTTGATGACGTCAGTGTACACCGGGTATACCGTAACGTCACCGATGGTGATACGAGAGTCGTGGGGTACCTTGATCAGTGAGACAGGTGCTGGTAAGGCAATTAATTTATTAGTCACCTGGTCCCTGCGAAAAACACTAATGTTTTTAAGACACGTGCTTACCAACCATTTATCTTTTACTAAGACAGCATGTACTAATGCATTACTGTCGGTTTTCAACATAGTTACTTGACATGTTTCAGAGCCATGTTTAATGTACTCGATCCCACACAAAGCATTGGTAGAATCGTACATGAAAGGTTTTCCATCACATTGGAAATTATTGTCTTTGAATTTCTCACAGTCATTTAAAATGGGTATTGAATACCAATCTGGTATCCACGGTTGAAAAGCCAAAACATGGTGTTTGGACTTTTACGAGGATATTTTCCTTCCATGTACCGACGTTGCAAATTGTTTTAATTTGAAAAATGTTTTTGGGAGTTACATATGGTATGGCCAATAAAAAGCAAATCTCCATACGTTCCGGACCAATTAAGAGAGGTATAGCACTTCCCATCTCAAAGGCCAGATTTAATTGGATAGGCTCAATTGTTTCTCCATCCATACTGGCAAGCATCGCATGAACAATATCCCCCTGCCAATTCAATCATTCCAGTTTGCACTTCGTCAAGAAAAGCAAGTGTGTGGAACAATATTGGGTCATGCAGAAATAGAAGTTCATGCTTAAATAAGTCATGACTTTGGTGCAACTCAGTGGATTTGGCAATTAACTCCGAATGCAAATTTGTTGTAACAACTGTGTCTTGCACAATAGTTAACACGTCTTGGAGAAGTGTTCTTTGCTGGTTTATCACCTGATGAATATAGTTAATGTGTTGCTTTAGCGCATAGACTTCCATATCCAGCTTTTGGACAGTAATAGAGTTGGCTGCAGACATTCCAGTTGCGACAACTGCATCGACAGTGGCACAAACTGATGCAACAATTATGGCGGGGAGGAACCTTTTGGGTCGGTTGCTCATCGAGATAGTACTGGATACAAATGGTTTCCGGGCTTGCTCCAAGATGTTTCGCACATGGTCCTGTGCTCTTTGGAGGTGCATCTGGTACCAAGTCTGTAACTCAGGAAGCTGCATCGATGAAATGTTGAATGCCTTCTTGATGGAAATCTTGGGGTTCAAGCTGACGAAGCACGTTAGGTCAGGATCCTCTTCTCTGTCAAGATGAACCCTGGTGCCTCTTGAATCAGGATCCCGGAGGATGGTCCCATCTCTGCGATCGGGTCAGTCCGTAGCTCTTGGCATAGGAGCAGTACGATCCAGAAACACGCCACATACTTCTTGGACATTTTTCGACAGTCAGTTAAACAAGCTAGTAACCTTCTTAGAAAATGTAGTTATAGGATGGCAAGGAAATGGTTAATGACATGAACGTACATGAGATCATGGCACATTACAACATTTCACATCATACGATACCACGTGAATCAACATTCATCCAGGTTAGTCGTTCACCCTTCTGCGTCCGATTCCACACCTATAATCCTTAATTGAGATTTAGGATGACAAGCACGCAACTGGTTAATGTGAACCCACTTTTCAATAAATTCACCATCCTTAGGAATTTTTATCTTATATGCTACTGGGGAAATTTTGTCAATGATGACATATGGCCCTTTCCAAGAAGGTAAAAATGTATTTTCCATAACCTGATTTTGCGCAAAGTTATACAGATAGACTTGATCTGAGATCTCATATTCCTTTTTCGTGGTTTTTAAATCGTAATAGGTTTTAACTCTTGTCGCTGCTTTTTCTAGATTCTTTTGGAAAAAAACAAGGGCATGCTGTAAATGCTTGCGCAAATTTTCGATATACTGATGCGTAGTGGCAGCATTGATCAAGTAATGATCCGAAGTACAATATAGTAAATGCTGTGGTAAAACCATCTTTCTTCCTGTCATCAATTCAAAAGGTGACAATTTGGTAGCAGTGCTGGGTGTAGCTCTAATCGCCATTAAAACTAGGGACAATTTAATGTCCCAGTCTTTACCAGACTCCTTAACATGCTTCTTCAGAATATTAACGATAGACTGGTTATATCGCTCTACCTCCCCGCTCCCCGGCAGACGCAGCGCGGTATGCAATATGTAGCTTTCGTTTAATACCTAGAATTTTCCACATCTTAGCCATTACTTCGCTGGTAAAATGACTTCCTCTGTCTGACTCAATTCTCTGAGGCAGACCGAACCTGGAAAAGACATGGTTAATCAACAAAGTGGCGCACACGGTACTCGTGTTCTCTTTACAAGGCAAACACTCTATCCACTTTGTGTACATACATGTAACGGTTAACATGTATTTGTTACCTCTTGAAGATCTTGTTACAGGACCTATAAAGTCAATTTGAATATCAGACCAGGGTAATGACACCCCCCTCTTCTGAAGTTGTGCACGATGGGTTGGACCATAGGGTTGATATTGCGGACAAATCAAGCATCCCTTAACATCTCTTAACATGTGTGGCCAATATGCATAATCACGCAATATCTCATATGTGATCTTATCACTACGATGCCCAGATGTAGGTGCATCATGTGCGTGTTGGAGCATTAACCCTCGGTATACAGTTGGGACTACCCATTGTTGTATACCATGTTTAGAAGTTCTGACCAGCAACCCATCCATGATACTAAATTGGACTTTATATCTCATTAAGATTTGTAAATCTTCATTATCTTTGCAATACTCATCTGTGATGGGATTGGCAGTAGGGTCTTCTATATGTCTATAGAATATGCCTATGATGGAATCATTATTTTGACTGGTAATCAGGTCCTCACTAGGAGCTTCCTCCATTGCACAACATTTAAGTCAGCGTTATCTCTAGCCCGTCGTCTAGTTATGGCGTCAGCATGAATTGAACCCATAAGGTCGTCATTGTTTAGGGTTTCACCCTTGATGGCTGCTTGTTTTGCCAGTGAATCGGCTAAGTCATTACCGTCCTTGTCAATACCTTCTATTTTAGAATGGCCTTTGGTTTTCTTCCAATATATGGTTAAACCATTTTCCTTAACCAGTTCATCGATTCTACAAAACAATTTCACATGTTTAACAGGTTTATTATTGCTTTTCAGCATTTGGTTACGTTTCCAGCTATGCAGATGTTCGATGAAACTGTTGCGAACATAGTTGGAATCAGTTATGATAACGAATTCTTTGATACCATATTCTATTGCCATTTGAATGGTCTTATAAGCTGCACAGAGTTCGGCTATCTGACTGCTTTTGGAACCAATATTGTATTCTATAGATACAGTTGCAAGAAAAAGTATGTGAACCCTTTGGAATGATATGGATTTCTGCACAAATTGGTCATAAAATGTGATCTGATCATCATCTAAGTCACAACAATAGACAATCACAGTCTGCTTAAACTAATAACACACAAAGAATGATATGTTGCCATGTTTTTATTGAACACACCATGTAAACATTCACAGTGCAGGTGGAAAAAGTATGTGAACCCTTGGATTAATAACTGGTTGAACCTCCTTTGGCAGCAATAACCTCAACCAAATGTTTCCTTTAGTTGCAGATCAGACATGCACAACGGTCAGGAGTAATTCCTGACCATTCCTCTTTACAGAACTGTTTCAGTTCAGCAATATTCTTGGGATGTCTGGTGTGAATCGCTTTCTTGAGGTCATGCCACAGCATCTCAATCGGGTTGAGGTCAGGACTCTGACTGGGCCACTTCAGAAGGCGTATTTTCTTCTGTTTAAGCCATTCTGTTGTTGATTTACTTCTATGCTTTGGGTCATTGTCCTGTTGCAACACCCATCTTCTGTTGAGCTTCAGCTGGTAGACAGATGGCCTTAAGTTCTCCTGCAAAATGTCTTGATAAACTTGGGAATTCATTTTTCCTTCAATGATAGCAATCCGTCCAGGCCCTGACGCAGCAAAGCAGCCCCAAACCATGATGCCCCCACCACCATACTTCACAGTTGGGATGAGGTTTTGATGTTGGTGTGCTGTGCCTTTTTTTCGCCACACATAGTGTTGTGTGTTTCTTCCAAACAACTCAACTTTGGTTTCATCTGTCCACAGAATATTTTGCCAGTACTGCTGTGGAACATCCAGGTGCTCTTGTGCAAACTGTAAACGTGCAGCAATGTTTTGTTTAGACAGCAGTGGCTTCCTCTGTGGTATCCTCCCATGAAATCCATTCTTGTTTAGTGTTTTACGTATTGTAGATTCACTAACAGGGATGTTAGCATTTGCCAGTGACTTTTGTAAGTCTTTAGCTGACACTCTAGGATTCTTCTTCACCTCATTGAGCAGTCTGCGCTGTGCTCTTGCAGTCATCTTTACAGGACGGCCACTCCTAGGGAGAGTAGCAGCAGTGCTGAACTTTCTCCATTTATAGACAATTTGTCTTACCGTGGACTGATGAACAGCAAGGCTTTTGGAGATACTTTTATAACCCTTCCCAGCTTTATGCAAGTCAACAATTCTTAATCGTAGGTCTTCTGAGAGCTCTTTTGTGTGAGACATCATTCACATCAGGCAATGTTTCTTGTGAAAAGCAAACCCAGAACTGGTGTGTGTTTTTTATAGGGCAGGGCAGCTGTAACCAACACCTCCAATCTTATCTCATTGATTGAACTCCAGTTTGCTGACATCTCACTCCAATTAGCTCTTGGAGATGTCATTAGTCTAGGGGTTCACATACTTTTTCCACCTGCACTGTTAATGTTTACATGGTGTGTTCAATAAAAACATGGCAACATTTCATTCTTTGTGTGTTGTTAGTTTAAGCAGACTGTGATTGTCTATTGTTGTGACTTAGATGATGATCGGATCACATTTTATGACCAATTTGTGCAGAAATCCATATCATTCCAAAGGGTTCACATATTTTTTCTTGCAACTGTACATTGGGATAATCACCTGTCCAAGTGATTCCGATACCTGCAACTAACTTCCGTTCAGCACCAGCGGCGTGGTGATATGAACACCCATCAATGTATACCCACGGTAGTGATTGACAGTATTCCTCGTCATAAACTTTATAAGGGGATAGCAATTGCTCTACTAGGAAGTCATCTGTGGTGTCATTATCATCCAGAGATGAAGCAGTACAGTCACATAATTGTGCTAAACCTTGGGCAACTGGGCTTCTCTTATTGTGTTTATAACGGACTTCTAATGGCCATCCCTGTAAGGATAGAGTCCATGCAGTAATCCGACTGTTAGAGAGATTACCGTCTCTGATCCTTTCACTCTGCAGATACTGTAGAGGTTGGTGAGTTGTTTCTACAATTATTTTCTCACCTTGGATATAGCTACGAAAATGTTGTAGTGCCCAGACAGTCGACAATAACGCCTTCTCACACGTGTTGAATTTAACTTCAACACGTGACAAAGTCTTGCTAGCATATGCAATAACTTTGTTTAGACTGTCCTGCTTCTGATACAGAACAGCACTTATGCTTAAATCGGTATATCCTGTCTCCAGATAGAAGGGTTTACCCCCCTCTGGTTATGCTAAACAGGGTGCCTGAGTGAGCTTCTTCCTCAGTCCACTTACCGCTTGGTCCTGAGGCTCCCCCAGTTCCAGGTAGTTTCCTTTTTAAGTAGGTGTAATAGTGGTTTTGTTATTTCTGCATAGTTATCTATAAACTTACGGGAGTAGTTAGTCATACCAAGGAACGATCTTAATTCCCTGATGTTTGAAGGTGTTTTAGCCTTAATTACAGCTTCAACCTTCTTTCTCTGAGGATTTAATCCTTCAGAAGTTACCTCATGTCCGAGGAAATTGACATGGGTGCGACACCATTGCGCCTTTTGTAAAGACAGTTTACTCCCTGCCTCTCTTAACTGAGTGAGAACATGTCTAATCTCTATGATATGCTTATCAAAGGAAGTGCTTTTCAGCAAGACATCGTCGACATATGATAACGTTCCTCTCTCGAGTACGTCAGGCATAACATTATGCATGAACACAGCGAATTCATGACCAGAGTTTATGTAACACAAGGGCATACGCATCCAGGTATACTGCTGCTTTCCAAATGTGAAGGCCAATTTGTATTGGTCTTCATCATGGACTGGTACAGTCCAATATCCCTGCGCAC